TGTACAGTACCGAGACGAGCGTGAGGGAGGCCTCTGGCACGGCCAGGATGGCGGCGACGATGACCGGCAGCAGGGATCGCAGCAGGGTGCGCGCGGCGCTCGCAGGGGACGCCGCCATGCCGCCCACTCCCACTGTGATGGCGCCGCGGGGCGGACGCTGCCGCCGCCCCGTCAGCAGCCCCCTCCTCCTGCCCTGACCCTGGCCTCGGCCCCACGGGCGATAGCGGCAAGGAAGGAACTGGCGTGAAATTGCACTCTCTCTCCTCGACTGGGTGAACTTTGTTTCACTCTGCGAGTGCGCGATGAGTTACATACTTTCTGTGCCATTTCACACGATTTTTTCCAGTGTAGAGTTGATGCTGCAGATTTGCAGTGCAACAGCAATGTGGGCCACTGCCAGCAATATATGTGTCGCACAGGCGGTGCGGAGGGAGAATGTGGCATTTCGTGGAAATCTGAGGTCTGGTTGACAAACTCCGCCCTTTTCGAGGCATCTGCGCGGTCAGGGTCAGGGGGGCCACAGAGGGTTGGGGAGGGCGCAGGGGGGGGGGGGGCTTACAAGGGGGGCGCTGGCGCTGTTTTGCAGCCACACACGTGGACATGGGCAACGTGTCTCGTGTCCGTTACCGAGTATGTAATGGGGACACCAGCCACGACAGCAGTGATAAATAGGGCGATGTTGTGAGTCTCAGGTGCGCCGCGCCGTATCTGCACTGACGATGTTGCAGGGGTGGGAGCGTCCTAAGTGTACTGATGATGCATCCATACATTCTGTGAGTACAAGGAAGGAGGGGTTAAACGGGCGGCAATCGGATCGACAGTTGGCTTTTCAAAATAAAAACCCGGAAGTGTAGGCAACCCGCAAAATGTTACCCCTCCATCACCCGTGTTGGCCAGAGCCGCACCTGGGGGCGGCGGCAGGGCTCGGGGACGGGGCAGATGGAGGGGCGGAGGGTCCGCAGAAGGGGCAGAGGGGGGCTCCGGGGGCTCCCATGGCCGTCGGTACATGAATGCCGGGGCGGCCCAGGAGCGGCCTCGCTCAAGGTCCGGGCCCTCCCGGTCTCTCCGGGGAAGACAATAGGGACGGGAAACTCTCCCTCGTCGCGTCGACCTTTCCCAGACCAGCTGGACACATGGATTGGATTAGGAGCAGGAAACAGGTAAATCACCAGTCCATCTCGCCACCGGGGAC